CAATCTTGTAAAGCCACTAGTACGCGCAGCTTTTCGGGCAGAGACCGAAAGTTTTTAAGGCCTTTTTTTTAAGTTTTTAAGACCCTTCACCTTCATTCAAGCACTACGACATTGTAGTAAGTTTCGTCACTAATAGTAATACTGTACTTCGAAAATATATCAATAACATAAAATATTTATATAATAATATTAGATATATTTATAGTATATAATCCAGACTGTCTATACGGCCATTCTACATAATCACCCAAGAACAATAATGGCGTGTGCGCCTGGCAGTCATGGGGCATTAGCCTCTGAATATGCTATACTATAGCCTATACTAAGGATATGTAAATAGACTGTTGATATATGTGTTAATAGACTATAATTAGTGTCTTCACAGCTATAAATTTACCTAACTAAAGGAATAGTTAACGGGGTCCAGTTCTCGAACATGTCTTGACTTTCAATCAACACTCACGTCATGGGTGTAGTTAGTTTAGTTCACTTATTATGCACCCCATACCCATCTTGTGGGTGGTAGTGGAAAGGGTTACAGAGGCACATAATGGGCTCAGGGACTGAAACCCACAATTCATTTAGCTAAGCACGTTTCAGTCTTGATGAGCTAGTTACAAAATTCAACGCACATCGTCACATCATCAGTGGGCTCGAGACCGACCACAAGTACAGTTTCTAAATTAAACAACTGACATATGAGGAGAGCTATAGCATAATAATAGGTTAGGTTTATTTAATAGGTTTATCTTGAGGTGATTTCGGGGCTTAGCGTCCCCGCGGCCCGGTCCTCGACCAGGCCTCCTTTTTGTTACACATCCCCAAGAAGCAGCCCGTAGCAGCTGTCTAACTCCCAGGTACCTATTTACTGCTAGGTGAACAGGTCGGTCGAGCGGACAGCACGCTGGACTTGTGATCCTGTGGTCCTATGTTCGATCCCGGGCGCCGGCGAGAAACAATGGGCAGAGTTTCTTTCACCCTATGCCCCTGTTACCTAGCAGTAAAATAGGTACCTGGGTGTTAGTCAGCTGTCACAGGCTGCTTCCTTGGGGTGGAGGCCTGGTCGAGGACCGGGCCGCGGGGACACTAAAAGCCCCAAAATCATCTCAAGATAACCTCAAGATAACAGGATCATCAGGGTGAAAGAAACTCTACCTATTTGTTTCCGCCTCCGCCGGGGATCGAACCCGGAACCTTAGGACTACGAATCCCGAGCACTGTCCACTCAGCCGTCAGACCCGTCAAAACCATACTGGTTTTCAGAGCTATCTTGAGGTTATCTTGAGATGATTTCGGGGCTTTTAGTGTCCCCGCGGCCCGGTCCTCGACCAGGCCTCCACCCCCAGGAAGCAGCCCGTGACAGCTGACTAACACCCAGGTACCTAATTACTGCTAAGTAACAGGGGCATAGGGTGAAAGAAACTCTGCCCATTGTTTCTCGCCGGCGCCTGGGATCGAACCCAGTACCACAGGATCACAAGTCCCGCGTGCTGTCCGCTCGGCCGACCGGCTCCCTAGTGTCACGATTGATATGTTTGTCCTGCACACCGCCCCCCATCTAGTGGGCAGCGGTGGATAAGTTACAATCACTTAGTTACTACCTACAGTTAGCAAACTGGGGATATTTGGCTAAGATTTCTGGTAGCAGATCATTTTGGATTATTATTATTATTAACATCTTTATTGACAAAATTAATTACAATTTTGCCTAATCTGAGGATTTCAATTAAGCCTTATTAAAATGAGGATAATGCTGGTATTCACTGTCACGCAGGACAGAGGGTCATACACAAGACAATAGGTCTAAACTGTAGGCTGAAGCACATATATATCATGGTTACAATCAATGTTTTAATGTATGGATACGTGAAAACAACTTTCTATTGTGCACTGCCACACAAGGGCAGGGATGGGTTCATAAGTGATGCAGCTTAGAAGTAATATAAATAAAATTGTTCTTCATTCTTTAAAATGGACAAACAAATTTTGGATAAAGGATGTCGTCCAGAACACATGAGTTAATAAAATAGTTACACAGTTGGTGGTACAAGAGGCCAGGAGGTCTAAAGTCTTTTACGGTTTCACATTCAACAATATAGTGTTCTAGTGAATGCATTAAAGGTTTATCACAGAGTTTACAATCTGAGTATTCTGGTAGTGGCTCAGCTTCTTCCTTATCTGAGGCACTTCCTTAGTGCCTCAGCTTCTTGATTTTGTGAGAGACTAGACCATTGAGCTAGGAGCATGTCAGCATATTCTGCAGGAGTATGATGAAGCTGAACTGTGGCTGAAGGGTTGGAAATGTTTTTTTAATTTGTTTCACATTTCCGATAATGTTGTAGTTCTATTGATACCTTGTAGGAATTGTTCCCCATATGTGTCCTTAACGTGACCCTTAAGCTCGCGAAAATCTCTGTTGGCATTGAGGAATGCTAGCAAATTGTCAGGTGTTTTGTCTCGTTTATAACAGTCGGCAGCTGAAGCACTTTAGCTCTGCAATAATAATAGATCCTCTGTCCATGAGGAAGAACGAGTGTTCTTTTTTTTCCTTGATTTAACCCAGGTATCATAATAACTGGTAATGATACTGACAAGATCATTGTAAAAATGATACACTGATACAGGCCGAGAATAATTTTGTTGACACAGTTTACATTTGGTCAGGTCTACATCAGCAGATAATGAGAATTCCCAGAGATACTTGTAACAGAGTCTACTAACCCGAGCAGTAGTAACATTTAGAAATCTGCTGATTTTATTGGATGATATAGACGTGTGGCTCCTCTTGCATGATAGTATGATGATAGATGGAATTACTGGTGTCAATTTCACTTTCCCTCAGATCTACATGATTTTGTTGAACTCCTTGGTGTACTATTGCTCTCAGCTTATTGACACTCCAAGGTTATACTCAATTTCTCTTTTAAAGGCAGATGGCTTGAAAAATTGCAGAACGAAGCCTTGAGGATAGTCCATGGGTTCCCTCGTACCACAAAGATACTTAACATGAGAAAGGAACTTAATATTCCGAGCGGTGTTGATCGTGATACTGAAATTAACTGTTAAAATGGTATAAAAATGCTTAGGCTAGATCACCCTTGATGGGTTTATGGTACGTGCATCGTGATCCTAATTTTCCTCAGAATACGACCCGCCAAATTCTTTAATTAACAACCAGGTAACCATTCACTGCACCCCTGGGTGATTGGCGACAAGTAAATCCTCCCTGGCTAGGATACGAACCTAGGCCAAAGCGGTCACGAAACGCCAGGAGATTTTATTCACCTAGTAGTGCTTGCGGGGGTTGAGCTTTGGCTCCTTGGTCCCGCCTCTCAACTGTCAATCAACTGGTGTACAGATTCCTGAGCCTACTGGGCTCTATCATATCTATATTTGAAACTGTGTATGGAGTCACATCAGCACTACTGCACATCAGCACTACTGCACATCAACACTACTGCACATTAGCACTACTGCACATTAGCACTACTGCACATTAGCACTACTGCACATTAGCACTACTGCACATCAGCACTACTGCACATCAGCACTACTGCACATCAACACTACTGCACATCAGCACTACTGCACATTAGCACTACTGCACATTAACACTACTGCACATCAACACTACTGCACATCAACACTACTGCACATCAGCACTACTGCACATTAGCACTACTGCACATTAACACTACTGCACATCAACACTACTGCACATCAGCACTACTGCACATCAGCACTACTGCACATCAGCACTACTGCACATCAACACTACTACACATCAGCACTACTGCACATCAGCACTACTGCACATTAGCACTACTGCACATTAGCACTACTGCACATCAGCACTACTGCACATCAGCACTACTGCACATTAGCACTACTGCACATCAGCACTACTGCACATCAGCACTACTGCACATCAGCACTACTGCACATCAGCACTACTGCACATCAGCACTACTGCACATCAGCACTACTGCACATTAGCACTACTGCACATTAGCACTACTGCACATCAGCACTACTGCACGTCAGCACAACTGTACATCAGCACGACTGTACATCAACACTACTGCACATCAGCACTACTGCACATCAGCACTACTGCACATCAGCAGTACTACATCACATACACAATGATTACACAAGCCTAAACTCACACTTTATCTTTTTTATATTGTACTCCATATACCTGAACAGTACTATTTATAATCCATGTACACATTACAGCACCCTCTACTCATTACACTGCCTTACAGTCAGTGTACCCATTGTAGTCTTTATTTATTTATTTATTTATGCATATACAAGAATGTACATAAGAATGTGAGGATACAAATATGGTAATTACAGTCTTGTAAAGCCACTAGCACGCGCAGCGTTTCGGGCAGGACATAACAACTCAGCACTTCTGCACTCAGCACTACTGAGTTCAGAAACATGCTAACTCAGGGATTCCTCTCTTGATTGCCTTTGATCAAAACATTTGGCTATTTCAGTGATGCATACTGTATCTGAAACCATGCAGTCCCTAGATTAGGCTGTATCTATCATGCATACAATGCCAGGTCTGTAGTTTAAGGCTTTTTAGGTGCCCCCTCAATACAGTACTTCAAATGTGTAACTAATAATTGTAGCTTGGAATACAGTATTCTCCGTACATTGTTGAGGTCAGTAGTTTTCACCTTGAAATGTAGCTGTTAATGCAGTATATATAATCTATGACAGTAGATGATTTCTGTTAGGAGGTTAGTGATTCCTGGGGAGCAGCAGATTTAGAGGTTAATTGTGTTGCATTAATGCACTGAGTACTGTATATAGTACTGTACAGTACACTATATAGAAATCTTGGGATGACCTCTCTTACATTGAACATGAATTAAAATTACATAGATGTCTTTATATTCTGAAATCCAACTATAATTTATTTGTATTTTTGTATTAATACAAAATACTCTTTCACTCATTTTTTTCTTTCTATATTTTAACAGGTGGGGGATTGTTTGTTCTGGGTGGTGGCAGGCTTGGCGCTCTGGTGTTGCCTCATCTCCATTACTGGGGACTTGGCTCTTCCTGGTGGCAACTTCTTCAGCCTCCTTGTGCTTTATGTGACAGCAATGTTGGCTGGCAAGTTTACCGGCTTTATGGGCTTGCCACCTTTACTCGGTAGCCTTGTGGTGGGCATATTGTTTAGCAGTGTACCAGGGCTAAATGCTGTCGGACGTAATATTGATGTCTATTGGTCGGCAGCATTGAGGTAAGATTTTTATTTGACTAATATGTGAAACATTAAATATGTTACAATATAAACATTATATAAATAATATTCATCTGACACATTTATAGCATTAGTTATGTTTCTTAAAAATGGTGTGTATTTTTTCCCCATTCTAAATGTGCAGTGTTAGTGTTATATTTCCAGATAGGGCAATGTTGTACATTACAGGAATACTCTACTATTCATTAAATTAGTGTGTATGTGTTTTGAGTGGGTAAGGTAACGGCGAAGAGTCGCAACCGGACATAATACATGATGATGTCCGGTTGCGGACATCATCAACCCCCTACAACCTGGGGTTTTAGGGGGAAGCTGCGCGGACGAGCGACGTGATGGCATGGTGTGATGTTTGCCTGTTGCCTGTTTGCTTGTTTCCTTGGTAATTGAGGGAGTTCTACCTCTCTGTTTAGCTTTCGTTTGCATTTTTCTTACCATGTGGGGTCTGTTTTGTTATACCTACCTTTCTGGGTGCCTGACCCCAGTCATTGGCAGATAAGGTAAACCCCACAACCACAGGGTTTTTTTCCAGGGTCATTGCTCCCTGCGCCTCTCTGAAGGGGGCCAGGTTCTGGCTCATGGTCCCCAGTTGGCAGAACTCCATTGACTAAAGCCCTGGTCTAATGTATCACATATTAGTCTGATAACTCCAGGGAGCCTCCAGGCTTATCCAGAAAATGGCATTTCATTACATTCAACACTGGTTTTTTAGATCCAGATATATAATCAACCTAACTTTCTTATTCCTGTAAAATTTCTGTGGCTCTATCATAAAATCTAAGTAGATTTTGAACATAGGATCTTCGTGTTTGAAAGCTATAATATAGGGTATCTGTCTGTTCTATCATTTCTCTCCAGGTAGTCTACTCATTAAGTTTTAAAATTTTGTTATAATGTTTTGACTAAAATGCTTGTCAGTGATATGGGTCTGTAATTTAAAGGGTCTTCTTATCTACCATATTTGTTGATTTGGGACTATGTTTGCCTTTATCCTTTTGTCTGCTAAGATGTCTGAAATATTAATAGATGCGGAATGACTAGCTCAGGTGTACATTCTTTCAGAACCTAAGGTGAAACTTCATCTGGGCCAACTGCTTTGTTTCTTCCTAGCTCCTTGAGTATCTTTTCTTCCTCAAATTGAGACACCTTCATATACTTCATGGTGTTCTGAAGTTGACACTGTGTGGTTCTCTGAGAACCTCATTTCCTTTGGTCCCATTCACTATCTTGCTGTAACTTGGTCTCTTCTTCCTGCTCTGGCCTCACATATTGTTACTGCCTTGATGCATTTCCTCTCTGCCTTTCACAGTGTCCTTGTGCTTTTCCTCCCTGATACTTATAAATGTCCTGTCATCTTTACTCATGTGCTGGTCAATTTACTCCCAGCTGTATCTTCTTCCAGCCTCTCAGCCTTTGTTTATATGTCAGTACAGTGCAGTACACCATATACTTCACCAAATGGTTTCTTCTTTTTATGCCAGTCTCTTGGTTGCTTCTATTTCCTACATTTTTGTTCCATCTTCCTTGGACATGCCTGGGTGGCCTGGGAAACCAGTGAGGGATTACAAGTGTTTCTGCTGGCACTTGTAGAGGTGGGGTCTACCATTGGTAGCGGGAGGGATTGTAGCCGTTTGCTCAGCCATGTTGTTAGCAGAGTGGGAATTAATGTTATTTTATTCAAATTCTCACCTGGAGAGGAGAGGGAAAGCAGGAGGGTTATTGTATCTGATGTTCATTCTTTTGTATAATGTTGAGTTGATGCTTAGTTGGTGGCTCAAGATAAGATGGCTTACTCTCCTGCTTCCGTAACAACATGACCAGACTATTCTAAAAGTTACTGGTCATGGTGTGTGAAGAAGATATTAGAGCCTGGTGGACAGAATATGTGTGTGTGTGTGTGTGTATTCACTTAGTTGTATTCACCTAGTTGTGCTTGCAGGGGTTGAGCTCTGCTCTTTCGGCCCGCCTCTCAACTGTCAATCAACTGTTTCTAATTACTGCTACTTTTTTTTTTTCTCTCCCACACCACACACACACACACGCACACACGTGCACACACACACACACCAGGAAGCAGCCCGTGACAACTGACTAACTCCCAGGTACCTATTTACTGCTAGGTAACAGGGGCATAGGGTTAAAGAAACTGCCCATTGTTTCTCGCCGGCACCTGGGATCGAACCCGAGACCACAGGATCACATGTCCAGTGTACTGTCCGCTTGGCCACCGGCCCCATGTGTGTAATTACCTAAATGTAGTTACAGGATGAGAGCTACGCTCGTGGTGTCCCGTCTTCCCAGCACTCTTTGTCACATAATGCTTTGAAACTACTGACGGTCTTGGCCTCCACCACCTTCTCACCTAACTTGTTCCAACCGTCTACCACTCTGTTTGCGAAAGTGAATTTTCTTATATTTCTTCAGCATCTGTGTTTAGCTAGTTTAAATCTATGATATCTTGTTCTTGAAGTTCTAAGTCTCAGGAAATCATCCCTTTCGATTTTATCAATTCCTATTACTATTTTGTATGTAGTGATCCAATCACCTCTTTTTCTTCTGTCTTCTAGTTTTGGCATATTTAATGCCTCTAACCTCTCCTCGTAGCTCTTGCCCTTCAGTTCTGGGAGCCACTTAGTAGCATGTCTTTGTACCTTTTCCAGTTTGTTGATGTGCTTCTTAAGATATGGGCACCACACAACCGTTGCATATTCTAGCTTTGGCCTAGAATGGTGACGTTCGGGCACAAGGGTTTTGGAGGTCGAACAGGGTCCTAGCTGCCCATTACCTCGTTAATGTTCCTGGCCCTAGTCGGGCGTGTGTCACTTGGGTCGCAGGTCACAGCCAGCCAATCGAATTGACTGATGCCATGGTATATCATCCCGATAAGCTCCGGGGAGCCTCCGGGACTCACCCAGAAAATGGTGTTTCATTACTTTCAACGTTGCTTTTTTCATATTATAAAATATATCTTTCAAAACCGTTCTTGATACCTATATATCTTTCAAAACCGTTTTACTTAGTTGCAGAAAGTTTCATTCATCTAAGAATTTCAACTTAAGTATTAAAATGTCATTATCTTTTTGCAGGAACTTTGCCCTTATTGTTATTTTAATACGTGCTGGATTAGGACTAGATCCTGTTGCCTTAAAGAAACTAAGCTGTACTGTGCTGCGATTGGCTTTCCTTCCTTGTTTAGTAGAAGCAACATCTACGGGCATTGCATCCAAGTTCTTACTCGGTCTTCCATGGAGTTGGAGTATTATGCTTGGGTAAGTTGGTAAGTTTTAGCATTTACACATTTCAATGTTCATACAGTGTTTAGTATTTCTAATGAATTTTAGCTTCCTATTTCTGCAGTGCAGGATGAGGATTTAAAGGACATTTTCGAGAAAAATAAATGTCTGGACACAATTCACGATTTTTTATAATTTTTCTTGATACCTATATCTTAAAACTACTTGATGTGTTTTTCCATTGATAGATGTTATTAGTTACTTTTTTAAATATAATTTGTCGGTGAAGCATCTCTATACTTAATCAAAACATTATTTTTTTATATTTACTTTGTCTATTGCCATTATGATTTCTCAATTGTAATTGATGACTGGCCTGGTTGGATTCACTTGAATGTGATTTTGTACAGCAAACCCTTGCTGTTCACAGGGATATCCCAGTGAAGTAAGTGAATTATCAGGGGAAAGTGCCAAACTATTACGACTATATAGCACTATATATAACACGGATAAGGATTTGGGATGGGACGGGGAAAGGAATGATGCCCAACCACTTGGGCTGGACAGTAGAGCGACAGTCTCGCTTCATGCCGACCTGCATGAAGCGAGACTGTCGCTCTACTGTCCAGCGCAAGTGGTTGGGCATCATTCCTTTCCCCCGTCCCATCCCAAATCTTTATCCTGATCCCTCCCAAGTTCTATATAATCATAATGGCTTGGCTCTTTTCCCTGATAAATGCCTCCCCTTCACTGGGATATGTTTATAAAATGCCCACCAATGAGCCCACCTCAGGCTCAACTACAAGTACCTCTAGGAGTTTGTAACATCTGCTGATGTAGATTTGACTAAATGTAAACTTTGTCAAGAGAACTATTCACATACTTTGCGTCATTATATAATGGATTGCGGAAAAATTGCGATGTTCAAGAGATAACATCATCAATGGTGTCCCAGAAATGTGTAAGTACTTTATTCATAATAATGTACTGCCAGGAATCTTAGCGAAGTATTCAAAATTTGCTTACTATAGGTAATGCATGCATGACTGTAAAGTTGCCACCCAGTTGGGTGGGTGTAGAGCAAGACTAGTATCTGTGTGAATCATCATATAGGTTAAAGCCTTGTATACAGACAGTTGTGAGCCTCTTGTTGAATCACTTGTGATATAAAAGATATTATTGATTTGTATATGTATTTGTGTACCTGTGTATGTGTGTGTGTATATATATTTTATATATATATATATATATATATATATATATATATATATATATATATATATATGTCGTACCTAATAGCCAGAACGCACTTCTCTGCCTACTATGCAAGGCCCGATTTGCCTAATAAGCCAAGTTTTCATGAATTAATTGTTTTTCGACTACCTAACCTACCTAACCTAACCTAACCTATCTTTTTCGGCTACCTAACCTAACCTAACCTATAAAGATAGGTTAGGTTAGGTTAGGTAGGGTTGGTTAGGTTTGGTCATATATCTACGTTAATTTTACCTCCAATAAAAAAAATTGACCTCATACTTAATGAAATGGGTAGCTTAATCATTTCATAAGAAAAAAATAGAGAAAATATATTAATTCAGGAAAACTTGGCTTATTAGGCAAATCGGGCCTTGCATAGTAGGCTGAGAAGTGCGTTCTGGCTACTAGGTACGACATATATATATATATACAATGGAACCTCTATTAACGAGTTTAATCCGTTCTGGCACCGAGTTCGTTATCTGGAAAACTCGTCTTAAGAAACAAATTTCCCCATTTAAAATAAAGGAAATAAATTTAATCCGTTCCACTCCCAAAAACATCCATACTTGTATGACATTTTTTTATGTAAATATAATACTGCACATGTAATTATAAATGTTTTGTTATACTGTTTTAATGTTTACCTTATGAAGAGTAGTTGCTGGCTTGAGGGAGACTATGGGGAGGTGGGAAGGAGAGGAGTTATGGAGTGGAAGGAGAATCCACGTTTGAGTCAGGCGGATTCTCTCTTCTTGGGAATTTCACCCAAATTTCATTTCAAATGTCACACAAGGATGCGTTAGACCAGCACCAAATAAAAAACTACGTCGATTGCACTCGTGTCAACAACACAATGGTCTTACCACGAAGATACAATACAATGCCTTTCTCCCAAATAGGCTATGTGGCTATTAGAGAAAACGGAAATTTCATGGCAAACATGTTTATACTATCCCCAAGTCGATCGGATAAGAATTAGATTTTATAGAAATATTTGCTCAAATGACACTTGAGCGCGGTGTTTGGGTGCATTCAAGAGAAAAAAGTGTGTCACGTTCAAGCGACATATACCTGCGAAAGTGATAACACTTTCACAAAGTGTTATCACAAAGTGATAAATTAATTAAACATTTTCACACACCGGGTTGTCACTGCTTTATCAGAGCAGCTTTTCCAAGAACGCGTTCACCTTTTCAAACATTCCCAACACTTCCCTGATCTCAGTGGAAGAGGCAACATCCTCCCTTACCTCCTTATTCCCTTACTAATGGTGTAAATTGTTGATGAGGACCTGCCATACTCCCTTGTGAGATCAGTCACACAGACACCACACTCATGCTTTGCTATAATTTCCTTCTTCAAATCCACAGTAATTGTGTCTTCCTCTTGAAAACACTATCTTTAGCAAGCAGCTTCTTTGGCGACATCGTGTGTTACAAATTGTAGTCACAAAACCACTAAAAAGACAAAGAAAAGTGCAAATAAATCCAAAGGAATGCTTGTCGTGTGCGATACAACAACAACACTGGCGTCGGAGGCGTCCAAGAATTTGCGAGAACCTGCGAGACGCTAGGAAGTACCATGTGGTTTTGCTCGTTAATAGAGGTGAAGCTCGTCAATAGAGACAAATTTGCTGCGAGTGGCTCGCTCGTTACTGGAAATGCTCGTTAATAGAGCCGCTCGTTAATCGAGGTTCCACTGTATAAGGTCGGCATGAAGCGAGACCCCGACTCTCCCAATCTTTAATCCCCGACTGTCAAAGTGGTTGGGCACCATTCCTTTCCCCCGTCCCATCCCAAATCTTTATCCTGATCCATCCCAAGTTCTATATAATCATAATGGCTTGGCTCTTTTCCCTGATAAATGCCTCCCCTTCACTGGGATATGTTTGTAAAATGCCCACCAATAAGCCCACCTTAGGCTTGGCTACAAGTACCTCTAGGAGTTTGTAACATCTGCTGATGTAGATTTGACTAAATGTAAACTTTGTCAAGAGAACTATTCACATACTTTGCGTCATTATACAATGGATTGTGGAAAAATTGCGGTATTCAAGAAATAACATCATCAATGGTGTCCAAGAAATGTGTAAGTACTTTATTCATAATAATGTACTGCCAGGAATCTTAGCGAAGTATTCAAAATTTGCATACTATACGTAATGCATGCATGACTGTAAAGTTGCCACCCAGTTGGGTGGGTGTATATATATATATATATATATATATATATATATATATATATATATATATATATATATATATATATATATATATATATATATATATATATATCATTTATCTTTCGGTTCCATCAAAAGTCGTTTCTTTTATTTCTGTACTTGACATAATTTTCCCTGTTGTAGCTCCTATTCTTTTCAGTGGGTCTGTACAAACCCAAGGTCTTAAGAGCATTTGTATGTAGCTGTAGTACCAGAGCCTTAAGCACCATAGAGTTAATTAGCACCACACAGGAAGGGCATTTCATTTCATTATGTCTTGAAATAATTAACCAATTTGTCTTATTATTATACCAATAATATCTGTATTCCAGGTTTATTGTTTCAGCAGTTTCACCAGCAGTGGTGGTTCCGAGCTTATTAAAGTTAAGTGATCGAGGTTATGGGGTGGAGCAAGGAATCCCAACTTTGATCATTGCAGCCGCTAGCATTGATGATGTTTTGGCAATTACTGGCTTCAGTGTCATGTTAGGACTGACATTTGCTGAGGGTTAGTTTGAATTATTTTGCACAATGTTATAATACTTTTCAATTTACAAAGCAATTGTTTGAAATAAATTTGTACTGTATTTTGTTAAAAAATGGCTGGATCATTATTACATACTGTACTCAAAAATAAACAAATATCTATTTTAGGCTGTACATATTAGGCTGTTACATGTTGGCCAGAATTGCCACAACCTGTTCATTTATTTGTCCTTTCCACAAAGTTTTCTGGTGTATGCTTAATTGCATCATGAGTATTTTGTGCATATAAGAAATGAACTGTGTTTGCACATAAATAAATTTGTGTATATGGTATGTGAATTAACGAGCTACTATTTGTGTGCCAGTTACATGCCTGAATATAAAAAGAAATAAAACATTTATTAGCCATGAGAGTAATATGCTAAAATCTGGTAGATTACATTCGTTACTTTAATATATTTACTATTTCATTGCAGGTTCATTAGTTTGGACAATACTTAAAGGTCCAGTTGAGATACTTGCTGGTATTGTATATGGTATTGTCTTTGGGTTATTATGTTGGATCGTGCCTTCCAGTGACAAGAAGAGTCGAGCATTTTACAAGTTCATCATCGTTTTTATTCTTGGCTCTTTGGGCATGTTTGGGAGTCAAAAGGTAAGGCTTGTGTATGTTTTACTCTTTGTATATTAATATATATTACAAATTATCTATGAAATGCTGTGTACAATGGAGTTCTGATTGAACACTTCTTTTCCCTGCACAGATTGTCTTCAGTCTCGGATCGTGTTGTGTTGACTTTTCTTTCTTGGCTCATTCAGGACAGGCATCTTATGCCGAATACTGTCGCCTCGTATCGTGTGGTGCTGGTGGAGCTGCTCCAGCTTAGGTTCGGGGTCACTTCGGCTCTGTTTCGCAAGCTTTCTCGTGCCTTTTTCCACCTCTGGCCTGCTCATGCACCGCCTGAGCCGTCCTGGTCTTTAGACCAGTTGCTCTCCTTTCTTTCTTCCACTCAGTTTGTGGTGGCCCGTTCAGTCCAAGGCTGTTTTCAGAAACCTTTGTTCTTGTTGGCTTTGGCTTCTGGGGGTCCGGTCAGAGAGCTTCATGCTCTCCTCCGAAGTAGAGACTTTTGTTCTTTTAGTCTAGGTGGATGTTTTATTTGTTTGCAGCCGTCTTCTTCTTTTCTGACGAAGAACGAGACGGCAGGCTTCCGGAGGGGTCTGTGGGTCATTGATGCTTGATTTGTCAGGCCGGGGGTGTATCATGTTTTGTGTCCAGTTACGGCTTTACACCTTTACCTGTGCACCTCGGCTTCTGTGTCCGGGGACGCACTTTGGGTTGACCCGATTTCTCTTGTTCCCTGTTCCAGGGCTCGGGTTTCTCAGATCGCCCGCAAGGTTATCAAGTCTAGCCAGCCTGCAGTCTACCCTCGCACCCATGATGTTCGTAGGTTCGCAGCTATGGCTGCTTTGTTTGTCAATATGTCTTGGGTGGGTATTCGGGCATGAGGGTTTTGGAGATCGAACAGGGCCCTGGTTGCCCAGTATCTTTTCAGTGTACTGGGCCCTCAGAGGTCTTGTGTCGTCTTGGGCCGGCGGTTGCAGCCAGTTGTCTCATCTTCGGTATGAATTGTGTGGTGCAGCCGCCTCCCGGGTAAGTGCCTTTATTATTTCTGTTTGGGTAGTTAGCTTCAGGGAGCCGAGAAGGCTTCCCCCCACAGAAAACCAGCGTTGAATGTAATGAAACGCCATTTTCTGGGTGAGCCCCAGAGGCTCCCTGACACCCTTCCTTCCTCCCTCCCTCCGGTCGGTGGTTTTGTTTTCGTTAGCTCTGTCTCTAAACTAAGGGGAAACCCCGGGGCTCCCCCCCCCTCCCCCCTCCTGGGGTATGGGGAACTGCGCGGACAAGCGGCATGCCGGGTTGATGATGTTTGCTTATTAACCTTGTTTCTTTTGGGGGAGTTCTGGCCCTCTGTTCGGTCTTGGGCTTGCAATTTTCTACCAGGTGGGGTTTGTTTTGGGATGCCTATCTTTCTGGGTGCCTAACCTAAGAGGATGGGAAGCATGGAATACTCTCAAAAACAGTGGGGTTTCCTTGGGCCATTGCTTCCTGCACCTCTCTGAGGGGGGACCAGGTTCTGGCTCATGGTCCCCAGTAGGCAGAACTCCAATTGACAAGCCCCAGACTAATAAAGCTAATGTCAGTCCAGTAGCTCCAGGGAGCCTCTGGGGCTTACCCAGAAAACGGCATTTCATTATATTCAATGCTGTTTTTTTCTGTGCAGTTATCTATAAGGCTTCAGTAGCAAGATTAATATTGCAGAACACGTGAAAAATCAGTATGCACAAAAATATTCATGTCCCTTATGTGAATCACATACTGTATTACATTCTTAGAACAATAAAACATACTGTACTATTTTTTTCTGTTATCACACACAATACACATAACTACATATTTATGCACCGTATTTGACATCACTTAGAATGTATAATACTTGTAAACTGACCAAAAAACACTTTATTATTTTGAACTGAGTAAAATGTTTCAAGTGCTCCCAAGTTCTTATTGTATGATATTTAAAGGAATTTGATGGCACCCATGGTACAGATACTTGCCTGATTGCAATACCAAATCCTTTCAGTACTTACAAAAGATATTCCTGTGGGAGTATCAATATGAACATGCTCAGATTATCCACACTTCCCCAATGAGTTTTTCACCCATGCTTCCTTCCACCACTTCATCCTCCAGTGTGTTCTTCACCCAGGGGCTCAGGAAGTAGAACTACTCCCGAAACCCTCTCCAGGTATACCCATGCTAAGTTCCACTACTTCCTCCTACAGTGTGTTCTTCACCTATACTACCTTTCACTACTTCCGCTTCCCCTTGTGTTCTTCAATACTACCTTCCACTACAACTGCAAAGTAATCTTTTTTTTTCCCTTGAGAATGCTTAATTTTTACGGATAGCTTGTGTGTTTTTTCAGGTGGGATTGGGGAGTTCTGGACCAATAGCAGTACTAGCATTTGCCTTCATTGCTGGGTTAGGTTGGCGCAGACCTGGCAACGAGGTAAGCTTATACAGTATATACTGTATTATACTTATATATACTGGCACTGTATATACTGTATTTTGTAATTTAACCTTTTATATCCTGTGTGTTAATTCTGGTATACAGCATGGCTATTCATTCTATTCATCTCATTTAAAAACACTCATATGATGCTCATAACATGTCAGTAATACACATCATCGCTGAAATTATCAGTTGTTACGGCTGCTTCCTTGGGGGGGGGGGAAAGGGGTGTGAAAAAAAAATAGTTAGTAACATTTGATTGATTGACAGTTGAAAGGCGGGCCAAAAGAGCAGAGCTCAACCCCCACAAGCACAACTAGGTAAATACTGCCATGATGCATTGTTTATTAATACTGTCTAGCACCATTCAAGACAGTACTTCTTAAATTACATTATAGTCCTTAATTTCAATAAGTGTTTTGCCATTCATAATATCTTGTTACTCTTTCAGTGAATTCCCAACATATAATATAAATTAATGAGATTGTTTTACTTTGTCTCACATGCTATACAGGACCCTAAAGTGAGTGACTACTACCGTAATGTGTGGCAGATTTTCCAGCCGATGCTCTTTGCTTTGATTGGAACTGAGATTGATGTAAGATATTGTATTGTTCAAATTATATGAATTTTACAAATACAATTGTTTGCATGTACAGTATGGTATATCTTTATTATTAATCATTACCTTATATGTATTAATGTATTTTATTACAAATATTTTATGGTATTTACCTAAGTACCATGCTGGCTTGGCCTCTCAACCAGTCTGCTTGTCTGCAAGCCACATATCTGGTCCCTTTCCAACTTGCTGGGGTTCAGGTTTCTGGTAGAGCTGGGGAAAGCTCTAGACTTGGTTGGCCTGGTTTGGGATTCCTGGTTGGCTTCACTTTCACTAAATTTCACTTTGAATTTCATATCCACAGTGTCAGTAAATCTAGCCAGCCTGTGGTTTGCCCTCTGGTCCATGATCCTCAGATGTTTGTGCCACTGACTGCAGTATTTTCTAATATGTCTTGTCAGTATCCAGATTTGGATGTTTTGGAGGTCTTAACAGGGTTCTGGCAGCTTGTTACCTGCTCAGTGTTCCTGGTCTCTGTCAGGCCTGTATTGCTTTTGGTCAGGTTTCCTTTCCTGGGTTCACTTCATCGAGAGTTTAGGCCTCGTCCTCCTTCTCCCATGTAAGTCTCAGTTTCCTTCTTCTATGTGGTTACTTAGCTACGGAAAGCCGCTGTTCAGCTCCTCCAGAAAACCAGCATTGAATGTAATGTCTCTTTCTGGTTGGGTCTCAGTGGCTCCCTGGTTCCTTTCTTCCTCTTCAAGGTACATAATTATCTAGTTTTCAGCTGCTGACCGAGGAGTTGTTGAGAGCTGGCAGCTCCTGGGTGCTGCCACTTGGCAGTAGTAGTCAGCTGTAACTAAGGGGTTTTAAATTGACCACTGAGTGGATCATTTGTGGAGTTATTTCTTGTTTCTCCATGAATCATGCAGTTGTCTGTTTTGCTTTGCTTACTTTCTGGATGTTTCCATAGTGAGGGTGACCATAACAGTTCCTTGCTCCCTGCACCTTTTTGAGTGGATCAGGTTCTGGCTTTGGTCTCCAGTAGGCTATTAAGGACTCCTAGGATTGATGTGATTTACAGGTGTGGAGCTATCTCAGTGCTAGCTAGGTAGGGTGCTTGGTAGCTCAGTGAGCTACCAAGGACCAACCAGAAAGAGGCATTTAATTATATTCAATGCTGGTTTTTTGGTGGTAACTATATCCATTGTCTTCTGTAGCTGGGTGACATGACCATTTTAAAAGTTCCTGATGACTATGTTGTATCCTCAGTGAGCCTAGATGATGGTTGTTGTTGTTGTTGTTGATTTAGGGGCGACGACAATCGTGGGATCGGATGCTCCCGGCATACCCATGATGGGTTAATTGTGAAGCTCGGAAAGGTGAAACGCCAAGCCAAATCGCGAAACGAGTGATGCCAATCACTAAAAACTAATATGCCTCGCGGCAAAGAAATGCAGACAGGCAGATGATTGGGGAGCTCCAGGAGTTCATCAGGGTGACAAGCAATTTCAATAAGTGTTTTGCCATTCATAATATCTTGTTACTCTTTCAGTGAATTCCCAACATATAATATAAATTAATGAGATTGTTTTACTTTGTCTCACATGCTATACAGGACCCTAAAGTGAGTGACTACTACCGTAATGTGTGGCAGATTTTCCAGCCGATGCTCTTTGCTTTGATTGGAACTGAGATTGATGTAAGATATTGTATTGTTCAAATTATATGAATTTTACAAATACAATTGTTTGCATGTACAGTATGGTATATCTTTATAATTAATCATTACCTTATATGTATTAATGTATTTTATTGCAAATATTTTATGGTATTTACCTAAGTAGCATACTGGCTTGGCCTCTCAACCAGTCTGCTTGTCTGCAAGCCACAGATCTGGTTCTTTTCCAACTTACTGGGTTCAGGTTTCTGATAGAACTGGGGAAAGCTCTAGACTTGGTTGGGCCTGGTTCGGGATTCCTGGTTGGCTTCTTTTTCCCCACCACTTGCTACTCTGCTCCTCCAGCAGTACCGTCTCCAACTGGTTTTGGACTGGCCCCAGATTACTTGGCAGTTGGTTGAGCAGTTGTGCAGGAGCCTGAACTTTGCATGTGTGGTTTTCACCCTGGGCAGAGTTTGACTCCAAATATTGTTCTGGTTCCTCTGGCTCCACCTGTTCCTCCGCTGCCAAGACCATTAGGTTTGCGCTTCGTTTGCCCTCCACTGGCTTTTGCTTTGCCAGTTTCCTCTTTAGGTTTTTCAGGGTTCAGTTCTATGGTGCCTTCCTCCCTATTACTTAATTGTTCATCAGACCTCCTAGAGTACTTGGGTGGGTTGGGTCCTCTTCATCGGGCACACAGTACAGTACAGTGTGTAAGTTTCCTGCTGTATGGCAAGCCCTTCAGAGGGTTTGTCTTCCTCCGGTCTCCATTCTCTGGCTCCATTCCAACTGCTCCTTTGTAATCATTGTCTGAATTGTTGGGGCTGCTTCAGTTCTTTATCCTTTGAAGCTGGACTTTGTGAGTAGCTCGGCTTCTGGATTCTCAGGGTTTGGTGTGTCCAACATTCTTGTGAATGGGCTCTTATTTCTGTCCCATTTCCACAGAGGGGACCATTAACAACTCATCCTTTCAGTACTTCTCCAAAACGTTTGGTCATTCTGTGGTGAACCATGTTGTGTCAGCTTGGAGCCAGCCACTTCTATCTTACATGGCTGCATTCCCCAATCGCAAGGCTTTTGTAATGGATGTCTTTCAGCTGAACTTGGCAAGATAGGTGTTCCTTTACCTCTTCTCTCTGTTTCAGCTGCTGCTCCAGATGGCTGGTTCTGACTTGGTTTCGAGCTGTTTTAGCCTGTTGTCTGCACCCGGACATTTTTCCACAGCTCTGCCTCCTCTCACTGATCAGTCCATAAACATTCCTTGCTGGTTCGACATTCTCTGTTAATTGCATCTGTAGTTTTTGATCTGGGTCCCTTGCAATTTGTATTGTGCAAAGGTGGCCAAGTTGATGGTTTTCCACTGGCATCCTTGTCACAGCAATAGTATGAAGTTTTTTCTCTCCTCCTATTTCTACTTAGCTTGTTTTTTCCATACTGGTCCTGGTGGTTTTGACATCAAAACCTTTGATTGACATCTTATGACTAACACTATAGTCTCTTTTTGCCTGACCCTGATATACCTGCTATTGTTGGCATTCAGCATCAGTATTTCTCTGGTGCTCTAGTTGTTTCATGCATTCTTCCACCTCTGGCTTGCTTATTCTCTTCCTGAGCTATTTTGGTCTCTGGATCAGATTCTAGTCTTCCTTTCATCTCGTTTCTTGGTTCCTCTTTTGGTCAGTTGTCCATTTTTCAATGCTTTGTTTTGTTGGCTTACACTTCCAGTTATAGAGTTGTAGAACATCATGCTTTCCTCCAAAAGCCTTAGTTTTGTTTCTTTGGCCCTGGCAGGCAGGTTCTTTATTTGCAGCCTTCTATTTTTCTAACGATGAATCAGGTGGTTGACTTCTGATGTGGATTCTTTAGATATTGATTCATGATTTGTTTCACCGAGATGCATCACTTGTACTCCATTGTAGCTGTTCGTCGCTCCCTACTCACCACCCAGACTGCTTTGGGAGGTGCATTGTTTATTGATTCTGTTTCCCTTTTCCTTGTTTGAAAGTTTCTGTCTCGGGCTATTTTGAGGTTATCTTGAGATGATTTCGGGGCCTAGCATCCCCGCGGCCTGTTCCTCGACCAGGCCTCCATTTTTGTTACACACCCCCCAGGAAGCAGCCCGTAGCAGCTGTCTAATTCCCCAGGTAATTCCTAAATATTTACTGCTAGGTAACAGGAGCATCAGAGTGAAAGAAACATTTTGCCCATTTGTCTCTGCCTCCGTCGGGGATCGAACCCGGAACTTCAGAACTCCATATCCAAAGTGCTGTCCACTCAGCTGTCAGGCCCTTACACAACTGGTGTGAATTTCACTTTGAATTTCATATCCACAGTGTCAGTAAATTTAGCCAGCCTGTGGTTTGCCCTCTGGTCCATGATCTTCAGATGTTTGTGCCACTGACCGCAGTATTTTCTAATATGTCTTGTGTCAGTATCCAGATTTGGATGTTTTGGAGGTCTAACAGGGTTCTGGCAGCTTTTTACCTGGTCAGTGTTCCTGGTCTCTGTCAGGCCTGTATTGCTTTTGGTCAGGTTTGCTTTCCTGGGTTCACTTTATCGAGAGTTTAGGCCTCGTCCTCCTTCTCCCATATAGGTCTCAGTTTCCTTCTTCTATGTGGTTACTTAGCTATGGGAAGCCGCTGTTCAGCTCCTCCAGAAAACCAGCATTGAATGTAATGTCTCTTTCTGGTTGGGTCTCAGTGGCTCCCTGGTTCCTCTCTTCCTCTTCAAGGTACATAATTATCTAGTTTTCAGCTGCTGACCGAGAAGTTGTTGAGAGCTGGCAGCTCCCTGGGTGCTGCCACTTGGCAGTAGTCAGCTGTAACTAAGGGGTTTTAAATTGACCACTGAGTGGATCATTTGTGGAGTTATTTCTTGTTTCTCCATGAATCATGCAGTTGTCTGTTTTGCTTTGCTTACTTTCTGGATGTTTCCATGGTGAGGGTGACCATAACAGTTCCTTGCTCCCTGCACCTTTTTGAGTGGATCAGGTTCTGGCTTTGGTCTCCAGTAGGCTATTAAGGACTAATTTTAGTCATCTTATGACTAAACACTAATTTTTCTAATGTATATGGTGTGAACTTATTATTAAATGACTCCATTGATTATTAAGTAAGGTGTAGATAAAACAATATGAATATTGCCTGCTTCTAACCTTGCTGATATGGTGGAAATGGATGGATTATATTATTTTGTTTATAATTGCTGGATTTTTAATGTAAACAAGTGTTTTCTCAAAGATTTCAGCAATAGATCCTGATACTATTGGCTGGGGGCTGCTGACATTGTTCATATGCCTCACCTTAAGAGTAGCAACATCATTTGTTGTGGTGATGGGAGCTGCCTTTACCATTTGGGAGCGTTTGTTCATTGCGATTGCATGGCTTCCAAAAGCTACTGTTCAGGTAAGCATATTTATAAGAATATAAAAATATAAGACCTAAATGCAGATTTACTTCCAGAGCTCTTGAGCTCTTGTTGATGTTACAATATGTTGATGATCTTCAAATATTTTGTTCACGTGGGAATTTCAATTAACATTCCAAAAATATGCCACAAATGTTGCCGGGTGCTTCGGTGCATGTGGGTCTTAAGACGTCCCATGAAGTCAGCTATTGATCAATATAGCAGTTTCCCTGCATTTTCCTTTAAATTTTTCTGGGACCACATTTTCTCTTTTGGGTCATAATAAAATAAAATATTATTATTGTTTACATTTACATTGAGTATTTGTGCTGCCTATTTAAAGATATATTAATCAGGCCTCTTTGTTTTCAGGCTGCCATTGGCTCTCAAGCTCTAGATTATGTGCGACTGCATGATGGTGAAGATGTTGATATTATACGAGGGGAACAGGTAAATATATAACTTATACATAGTGTACACACACACACACACACACACACACACACACTAACTAACTATATATACTGTATATAACTGAAAAACTCTTCCTTGTGAAGAATTCGAATCTTAGATAGCCTGGCGCTCCAAACACACTAGCATATCCAGTACTATGACCAATACACCATGACTGACTACAAAAGTCATTGGAGACTGTTTACCCAACAACCCAACAGCACTCGTCATGGAAAGAGATCACAGATAAGTTTCATCAGATCAATTCACTATTGAGTGAATTACATATGGCTTGTGGTTTATGCAAGTTTATCATACATTTGAGGCTCGCGTTTTCCTCACCACCATCTAAACCCTGCCAAGACTTCGAAACCCTCAGACATTTGGGAGCCGGCAACTGTAAATTTGGTAGAGTTAGCAAGTGTAGCAGCAGCCTAAAACTCGCATGCAACGCTGAAGTTCCCTGCACCCGAAAATCAATTGCAGTAGACTGGGTAAATTTGGAGTACAAGCGAGGAACACCACTCACAGGACTCCTGATCAAAGGTGTTATTGACCCAACAGGCAGCATGATGGAGGCAAAAACAGTGAGTATCACTCTGTAACTAGGGGACAGAGCAACCTTCAGACTCGCACGAAGCGAGATGGGACTCGGAGGATGTATCCACTGGACCAGTGAGCCCCAGTAGGGTTTTCCAGGGCTCTTAGGTTGACTGCTAAGGAAAGCCCAGGCATGGTATTACTAACAGGTTATCCCAGAACTACTAAACAAACAAAAGCTAAACCCCTGCGACGTGAAAACAAGAGAAACAAAAGAAAGGAAAAGAAAACCCCCGCAAAAGTACAACGTCTGCAGGAAGAACAGAACCTGCCATTTATGTGTATTATAGGACAGTTGCACAGTACCTTGTGCCCCTGCCAGCGACGATACCACCTCCTACCCATGGACAAACAATGGCAAGAAAGCCCCAGCTGAACCCAAGGGTGGGCAATCACCGAGCAACAAAAGAACTCTGCAGAGGTAGTTCCCGAACAGTTTGTGTAAGGTAACCCCAAACCACAAGGTCAGTACTTACAGGGCACCTAGGGAAGGTGACCCTGGGTGCATGCAGCCTCAGTACTACCTGGCTCGCACACTACCACACTGCAACACAACACAACACAACACCACAAGGCACAGCACTGCACAAGGATCGGAGCCCGAGTTAAACGACTGCCACTTAACATATCAGTCTCAGAACTGAGGGTGGATAGCTGGCATGGGATCTGGGGCTTCCCCTTCCCCCTCCAGGGGAGGGTGGAGCTGTGTAGACAGGTGGCGCGGCGGTGGGTGTAATGTCATGCTTGTTTGCTTGTTTTCAGATTGGGGAGTTCTGCTTAGCAGTTCGGTTTTAGGTAATACTGTTTCAACAGTTGGGGTCTGTTTTGCGACACCTACCTTTCTGGCGCCTAACTCGGTAGATAGCAGACATAGAATGCTTCCAACCACATGGGGGTTTCTATAGGCCATTGCTCCTCGTGCCTCTCTGAAGGGGCAAGGTTCTGCCTCATGGTCCCTTGTAGGCTTAGAAATCCATTTGAATTGACTGATGCCATGGTCTGATACATACATGTCAGCCCGGTATAGCTCCGGGGAGCCTCTGGGCTGACATGTTTCACCCAGAAAATGGCGTTTCATTACATTGAACACTGATTTTTGAACAAAGTATTGTATGTTAAAGATTATTAATGTTTTATAAATACAGAAGAAGCACTTTTAAGCTTATATAGATTACAATAGGTGCACAAGGAGCAATACTCGGTAATCCTTCTAACTACCCTATATTTTCCAGATTGTAACCATAGCTGTGATGGTGATACTGGTGACTGCTCCCATAGGAGCTATAGCGATCAGACTCACCGGCCCAAAGTTCCTTGCGAAAAAGTTGCCAACTAGAACCTTAAACGATCCAGAAACTACTGTGTAGGGTAATTTTTATTTTTGTAAAGCTAATTTTCATAGTTTGACATTTTCTACTCAAACACTGTTGGTGCCAAGAGGTTACAGTGAGAATTACATTTCTCTTTGGTGGGGTATTCCTACTCTGTATTGAATATCTATATACATACAGCACCAGCAAAATGTGTTCATAGTACAGTAATTTTATATTGATATTGCTTCACAAAATTTATACAAGGAATAAGATCTTTGAGGTTACTGTACTGAATATTTTTTAATAACGTTTCTTCTTGTGAAATTTTTTCTTTTTTTTAATATGACACATTGGCTTAAAGCAATAGAAGAAGAGAAAAGATGGTTGTCCTGTGATAAGTTGTGCTTATATCATGACAGGAGTTGTTTGTCCCTTAACAAGAGACACTTGTCCCTTGACGAGAGACACTTGTCCCTTAACGAGAGACACTTGTCCCATGACGAGAGACACTTGTCCCTTGACGAGAGACACATGTCCCTTGACGAGAGACACTTGTCCCTTGACGAGAGACACTTGTCCCATGACCAGAGACACTTGTCCCTTGACGAGAGACACTTGTCCCTTGACGAGAGACACTTGTCCCTTGGCGAGAGACACTTGTCCCATGACGAGAGACACTTGTCCCATGACGAGAGACACTTGTCCCATGACGAGAGACACTTGTCCCTTGACGAGAGACACTTGTCCCTTGACGAGAGACACTTGTCCCATGACGAGAGACACTTGTCCCTTGACAAGAGACACTTGTCCCTTGACGAGAGACACTTGTCCCATGACGAGAGACACTTGTCCCTTGACGAGAGACACTTGTCCCTTGACGAGAGACACTTGTTCCTTGACGAGAGACACTTGTCCCATGACTAGATGTGCCTGTAACAAAAGATGATACAGTAAAGAATTTTAACAATGTTTTTATAAATGTTGTAGACTCTAAGAGAAGTAATGAAATAATTGCTTCCATTAAGACATTATGACAAATGGCAGCTCTTGTGGTGGTGTTGTGTATACATGAAAGTTTTCTGTGGTCTGCCATTATCCTGATAAATATGGTACAGTTATTCAGATTTATCCAGGAGTGATCCAGTTATAATGGCATTAATCTCTGCCATAGTGTGTGAATGTTAAGTTGAATGTTAAGTTGCATTAATGTCTTTTCAAATCTCATTCTGGTCCTCAGAAAGACCACTTCAGTAATTCACACAATGTGTTTTATAGAAACCTACTTTATTGACTAAATGACAAGCTGGAAATATACTGTAGTTACATTCCCAGACATGACAAAATTGTACAGGAAAATAATGAGGAAGCGTGCGAGTGGATGTGTTATTTTCTCATTATTACTTAAATGTAGTTACAGGATGAGAGCTACTCTCTCAGTGTCCTGTCTTCCCTATAATCTTCATCAAATGACATTTTAAAGAATCTACAGATTTTGGCATGTACCAACTTCATTTAAATTATTTCAATCTTCTACAACCATTCATGTATGAGTGGATGTGTGCTTGAGTGTTGATGTTTGCGAGTATGAGTGAGTGGATGTGCAAGTGGGGTGGGGTTGGTCAGGGTATTTACTTAAATTTACCTGAGTCACCATCTCTAGTGGGGGACAGGAAGCCAGTTTCTAGTCAAAGGTTCCCCTCAATATTTTGGGGGATTTTTTACAGCTGAATTTTTGAACTGGAAATGCCTTGGCATTTCTGGTTTTGGCTGGTTGGTGATTCTATTTATTTTTCTATTTTCTAACAACGCATTTTCTGTTTTCTGTCCTACATTGTGGCTTATTGGGCTTAAAGTTATAACTCTTGCATTAGTAGTATTGTCGGGTATGTCTGAGAGTCACAATCAGGAATTCCAGGCTTGAATCCCGGGTGGGATGTTTGTGTGCGTTTCCTGTCATCTATCACGTAATGCTCTGTTCATTTACCTTTACTTTCACCATAACCTTTTTTCATGATGCAATTTTCCCATAATTCCATGATTGCTCAAATGAAAGAATTTAGTAGCTGATCACTTCCATAGTATCCAATATTATATTCACATTCTGTAGCATATGTTTCATGCAATTATTGCCTGGTTCATATATGGAGGTGTGGGAATTATCAAATAAAACTGAGGGGACAATACTTATAAGTAACAATTTGCTTTTGGCTTGAAGAATATGCCACCAGTATAGATACCTATTGTTGGAGACAAAGCCTGTTAGGCGTATTGAGGTCCCCTTAAGCCTACTGATCCTACTCTGAATTTGACTCCAAACAGTTGTTTAACTCCCAGGGACAATGTGAACAGAGCCATCAGGTATAACAAAACTTGCCCAAACATCTAGCCATGACTAGGAATTGAATCCAGGATAACTCGGCAATATTCTTTTGCCAAATGTATTATACAGTATCTACTGTATTGAATGCAAGTTGAATGTGTGCATATTAATTTTTTCATATATTTAATTTCATTCACCTGTGCACTAGGAGGCTCGAACACCCAGCCTCCCGCTCCTGTTGTCAGCACTGAAACATTAATCAGAAAATAAGTGCCTATTTTTATTAACAGATGTGCGAGTTGCTGCCGAACATGGCACAGGGATAGTATGTTGACATGAGACATTCATCTTCCTAAAACTTGATTACAATAATACAGTAAATATTGACTTTGTGAATCCACAACAACTAGTGAATGGCAAGAGCAGTGAGCTAGGGCCCATGATTGTTAACTGTTCAGTTGTATATAGTAAACAGTATACGGATTAGGGCTCTGTATGTATATCATTACTAACATTATACAATTAGTAGTACGGTTAAATTATTGTTGAATTCAAATTTTAAAATAGCTAGCAAGCGGTAAAAATTATTAGCATTATATGTAATGCTAATACATAACAAAAAACAATTTGTTAATATAATAATAAAGAGAATATTAGATGATATAATATTAGAAGAAATAATATTAGATGAGAATTCAATGCAAGGTATCATTAAAATTAGTTAATTCTAATGCTATGAACTATAGTACAGTAATATGTATCTAAAACAAATAATTAGGATAATCTATTTAAATAATAAAATAGAAAATTTAGCTTGATTAGTGAATCAAAGGTACAAGTAATTATCATATTGTAAAACTATATACCATATAGTATTCTAAGATATAAATATTCATATTTTAAACGTTTTATTATTATTTTTTCTCACAAAATCATAATTATGCATCACAAGCATGACAAATTTTATTGTTTCACACTCTAATATTTCTTAATTCTCATTATATTACCTATTAATCTTTTTGAAGTATATTGCAGCAATATCAGTTAATGCAGGGTCTTTTGATATACAGTACTGTATCATTATATTATCCTTTACAGGTCTTTTATGTTATTTTGTGTGGTTCATAAATGTTTCATAACGTTGCCTACATTGTGTGAACGTCCGTTGGTGTTTATTAAGATGAGCCTCGTCCATGACAGGATCCTGCTGATAGGAGATGCATTAAGCTATTGTCATAGTTACAAACTTTCTTCAGCATTTGCCTCAAGTATATCGGGATGAATTTGATCTTGCCAGTCTCTTAGATGAGGATAGTTAAATTATATTTGCGTTCTGAGCCTAACTACAGTACCTGTACATTGCTTTTTCTCCTCCGTCAATGTTGCTCGTTCAGCAGACACATGTAGGTAAACAGGTGCTCTGTCAGCACACACATAGGTGAGCAGGTGCTCCATCAATGTTGCTCTTTTGATTTGTTGATTTAGAGGCGACGACGATCGTGGGTTTGGATGCGCCCTCTGTCAGCAGACACATGTAGGTAAACAGGTGCTCTGTCAGCACACACATAGGTGAACATCTGCTCCATCAATGTTGCTCTGTCAGCAGACACACACCAGAGGTGAGCAGTTGTAGTACTGAGCCTTTGAAGATTCTTGTTCTGTACAGTGATCATTAGCAACCACTTTCGGCTCTCTTCTTGTGTTCCTGTATAGTGTCATCACTGCTTCTTTAATAACATGTGTAAAACATTAGGTTGTGCTTGCAGCTCAGGAATCCACCACAGTATTTTATTTTTAGCATAGTTAATATTATTATCTAATGCTTTGTACTTAACTACTAACTAAAGACTGGAGATGTGTTTCATGCTAACAGTATTGAAGAAGCAGTTAAACAGCAGCAGAATACTTTTTCATTATTTTTTGGACTTAGAATATTGCATTTTAATCTACTCCACATTCTCTATGTAATTTATTTATAACATAATTTCACATTCGCAGTCAACATTTATCATATAAAGTTCCATAGACACTTTCAGTCAAATTACTAGTTAAAATATTTCACCTCAAGACAATAACACTTTGCTAACCATTAAAGGATATATTCCTTAAAGATTTGCTATTATTTGAAACAAATACTATTAATTTTTGTTCTTAATTTCAAAGTTAAGAGTAACATTTTTATAATTATTTCTTAGTAGACATGTAGCAGTTAATTTATCTGTACTTATTTCACAATTATGAGGTATTTTGCACAATTATAATATTTACAGCTAACAAGTTATTGAAAGTGTTGAGATGGAACTCTTGATCATCTTAATTTAGTGTAACACATTAATATATCCTGTATTGTGATAAAAACCCACAGATCTGAAAAACATGGAAATGAAACTAAATATTTTAATCTCCATACTGAGACTTGTCAGCAGAAGAGGGTTTGGAAACCAGAATATTCAAATGTTTTGTTTTCAATGTTTTTCAAATATGTGGGTTTTTATAGTATTGACTTTTGTGGTATTGTATTTTTGTTCTCATATTAATATATTGAATATATGTTACTTACAAAGCTTCCTGTTTTTATTATGTAAAAGCCGTGTAACTTTTATGAGGAAATATCCTCTCAAAAGTGCAATAGTACTTAGTGTGTGTTATAGAGGTGATCTATCTCTACTGTGTCGAGTGCCCCTCTTAGTTCAGTAGCCGTGTTCATATGTTCATATGTTCTCTAATAAAGGCCATCCAGTACTGTACTCAGAACCTTCAACTCTTCTCCACACAAAATGTAATAAAGTGTATTGTTTCACTCGCTTGCCAAAATGTTTGTAATAATATATTTAGAATTATTTATAATGTTTTATTACATACTGGAACTCAAGGGTGTCTGCAGGTGTAATGGACTAATAATTTATTATATAAAACTGTATGTAAGCTTATAATATTGGGTGTAACAATAAAATATTTACATGCTTTGATGGCTAATTCCTATTATTTAAATTTTGTTATTGTTGAAAACTATTGGCAATTCAGGTGTAATGTATTTTTTTTACTATATCATAATTATGGTACTGTCTGCCTTGAACTTATCATAGATGTGTAAATTTTAATTAGCTGTCATCAAGCTGGGCATGCAAATATCGGTGGAGTAACATTGATACAGTACCTTATTGTATCAAATTTACTCCGTCCTCATTTTGGTGCGTATACATTCTTATAGAATATAATATGCTTGTATAACTGGTATATAGCCCACACAGGTGTGACACTCTTCACAAACTAACACAAGCATAGCCCATTAACCTGTAACAAATAGTGTGTTAACATCTTGACTTCACAGAAACTATTTCAGCAAATTTCCATATGGTGCACATTTTATATTTATCTACCAAGGCTTTGCAAATCCTACCCAAAAATCTAACCCCCCTTACCATAGGTAACAAGTTGCAAGCTTTGTTCCTTTTTCTCTACTTGTTTATCTTAATTTATTTGGTCTCTTAGATCGGTCTTAAGAGTTTGATTAATTAATATTTTCTACCAGCAGTGATGGGAGAGTTTACACAGCTCTAAATAAGAACATCCTTGGTTATACTGGCAGTAAATCATTCTTACACTTGTAGGCCAGATGCTTACTGGGAATTTTTTTTTATAAATAGAGCTAGAGAAAATGAACTACTATCCATCATCTGTAACTGCCCTGTCAAGAATAGGAAGCCTATGGCTCTTGAAAGTTCTTCCTATTTTGGTCATCAGTTTTTCACATAGATTTGAGAGTTAATCTTAATTCTTGCTTCAATGATTTTAGCATGTATAAATTGTTCTGTAAATGTATTGCTCTGGGATAAGGAGGATTTCCTATTTTTTACTCTGGCTGTGCAAGCTTAATTTGTGGCTTCTCGTATGTGAAAAAGTGGTCATGTTTCATCACACTATTATGTTGAATGTCTCATATGAAAGCAGCCTTGAAATGCCTTGTCTGAAGAGAGATCAGTCTTAGTATTCAAGATGGCTTTCTTCACTTTTAGTGTTTCCAATGGTACTAATGCATGTACATGCATGAACGAATTAGTCAGAGCCAAATGTATGGATGCGAGAAGCTTGTAATGGCATTAGCATTAAAACCGAAGAGTTTGAACAGTAGCAATAAAGAGTTTGAGGAATATGAGCAGTGTTAGCAGGATGGCTAGAATAATGAAATGTAAATAATAAGTTAGTATGAAAGTCTGTGTCTAATTAGGTGAAGGTGTGTGTGTGTGTGTGTGTGTGCTACGATGGTAGGTTGAAAAGATATTAGATAAGAGTGGCAAAGAATGTACATTCAAGTAAATCTGGAAGTTTGAGCAGTAGAGGCAGCCAAGAAGATGGGGACTGAGAGAAGGCATCACTAACGTGTAAAAAAAAAAATCACAGGAAGTTGTAATATACAGAATTTAATAGTTAGGATTTAATGAATGATTTTTACCGTTTGTATATCACAGATGACATGAAATACTTTATATCTAGTAAAATGAAATGACAGCACAAATTTTTGTTTTATTGTTTTGCTTGTATGGTGAAAATGGTTTCTCTGTTGTTAGTAATAAACATGGAAATTATTACGAAAGAATTGGTTCTCTAATAACTTAACTATTTCCCTTTTATTATGATTTTTTGCATGCATTTTCCAATCACATTTTTCCATCCTTTCCAGCATGTGCCTGCCCAGTGAAAGTTGAAATGTTGTTGTTGACAAGACAGCATGATTATTAGCTTTCCAGTAATGATGACCCACTTAATGCAGTATTGGTAGTTTGCGTGTCTGGGATGTGCTATTACAGTGCATCATTGTGTTCGTGCAATTTGGAAAGTTTACAACATTATCTACACTAAAATAAAATCACAGGAGAGTTGAATTATTTTGGGGGGATTTTGTAATATGTGATTTATTTAATGTATGGTTTTTTCTTAGATTGGTTCAGTTTGGAGTTTTATTAAAAACCTATATTTTTCCTAGCCACTTTTTCTTTTGAAAATGGTCTATTAAAGCCTTATAACAGTCAGTCAGGTAACATAATGTACATCCAGTCCCAACATTTAGAGATAGCATCCATTTCCCTACTGGTATAATGTATGCTTAAGTATTCGTGTCAGTAAGCTATCTTTTGTATCCTTAACTTCAACTGTTACAGAGAATGCATATTTACTTAAATTTAATGCTATAAATGACAATTATTCATTAAATAATGCATATAATTTTGCTCATGTCAGACATGAGATTTATTTCTTAAAATTGTGTAAAAGTTTCAAATGATATCAAATGAGTTTGGCTGTTTTTTAAAATTATCTTTGATTATTAGTTAATTTTAAGCAAACTGATTTACCCGAGATTTTGGATAGATCCAACACTGGTTCCTACACTCATTATCTATAGAAGTATACGTCATATAATATTTATTCATAACATATAAAAGACAGAAATAACAGTAATGTTTTGTCCTGTGCATATATTTGTCAAAAGATACAGTGACCATATTAAGTAACCTAAGTATTCCAGGAATATGTATAAGGCAAGACTTATTTTACACGAGTCTCATGTTGTACAGTCTGGTTCATTCTTGACTCACAATTGGGAATTCTGGGTTCGAATCCCAGGCAGGACAGAAATAGTTGGGCATGTTTCCTATCACCTAATGCATCTGCTCACTTAGCAGTAAATAGGTACCCAGCTCAACTTGTTGTGAGGTTGCATCCTGGTAAGGGTCGGTAGTTCAACCTTGCAGGGTGACCTTGATATCAGCATAACATACACACACAAATCACAATAGCATGATATATCAAATGAACAAATCCACAAGGGCCATGATGAGAATTCGAACTTATATCCAGGATGATCCCAGACGCACCTTAGTCGATTGTGCCACGACATGGAAAAGAATTGCAACTGGTAATGCTACTGCTCTCACACGGATCCTGCAGCCAGTTTGGACACAAACCCCGGTTTGTGTCTTGGAGAGGCTGCGGGATCCGTGTGAGAGCAGTAGCACTCCCGGTTGCAATTCTTTTCCATGTCGTGGCACAATCAACTATGGCGCGTCTGGGATCATCCTGGACGTAACTTTGAACTCTCATCACGGTCCTTGTGGATTTGTTCAGCCTAACATGTATGTATACATTGACTACCTTTCCCCCGACACAATGAATTCAATTATATTAGCAAAGGTATTACCCATACCTGTCTGTCTCACATAGTCCTTATCATATAGAATAAAAAAGCATGTAACTTGTAACTTATGAGCAAGGGCAGAGTTCACTTAGTTTTAAATTTACAGGTTGCTGGTACATGGTGCTATTAAGGGCACCCAATTTAAAGCACTTACTTTTTCTAATAAGACCAGTGTGCGAGTCAAAATGCCAGCACCTCAGTTACCTCTCTGGTTCAGTGAGTGTGCCGTTACCATCTTTTGTAAATGACATTACATGGATTACATATTAATTTCTGCCTCACCACAAAGTAAGATTTAACAGACTTGATCCATATGCATTATTTATTATTGTGTTCTGTGGTAGATGTTGCAAATGCATATGTAAATCATTCACCAACTTGTTACTATGAGTATGAATTGTAATATTTGAGATGTGCTTAAGTAAATATATTTACTATGATCTCCATATGTGATAATTGTTTATAAACTGTGTGGTAATTGTATATGAATACTCTCGACATGCATATATGACAATGGTCTTTATATTTATTTATAGTACCATACTCTACTTTATTAAAGTTATTAAGATATATTTACTGTGATCCCTAAAACAAGATCTAACACCATAGACCCCTGAACTATGAATATTTTTGTCTATATCTGTATAGTACTTATTATCTTATAACAGTTGTTTTTAATATTCTAATTTTTTATGTTTAATATAAATTTTCATACATGGGAGTATTGAACATTTAAAGAAAATATAAAAGAAATCAGTTTGTTCTTAGAGCAACAAATTACTGCCTGTGGTTCTGGTATGATATTTCTTAGACAAAGATCAGGATAGAAAAGTAGATTCTCAATATTTGTTTTGCCAATATTTGATGTTTTGTAATAAAGTTTACTGTTCTATTATGGAATGATGTTTACATTAAGGATGCCTAAGGTAAAGTTGCATATCCTCGATTTGCAAATACAGCTGGGTGTCCAACACAAAGAGAACCCCAGTTGTGCAGACCTGGGGTGTCCAGCACAAAGAGAACCTCAGTTGTGCAGACCTGACAACAGTCACAAACACCCAGATGGAGTCACCCTGCAGACATGGAGGGATGGTAAACAGGTCATGTGGGACTACACATGTGCGTTCACATTGGCTGATACCTATCTACCTCACAGTACAGCTGAGCGAGGCAGGATGGCCACCTGAGAGACCCAGAAAACTAATAAGTACAGGGATCAAGAACGTTGTTACAGGGTCATGCCAATAGGCTCTTGAGACCCTGGGGGTAAATGTGCACTTAAGTTCCTAAAGGAAGTGGGCAAGGAACTCATTAGGCAAACTAGAGACTCAAAAGCAGCCAGTTTCCTGTTTCAGTGCCTTGGTGTTGTGATCCAGAGAGGAAATGCTTGCTGTAATTTGGGCATGCACCCCACCTCCAAAGAGATGGATGTGCAGAATACCCCCATTGAAAAGCACAGGTGTAATAGGTACACTGAGAGAATTCTTATCAACATCAGAGGCCCGATACTTTTCAACACGCTTCCACTACACATTATGGGCAACTGGCCGACCCTTCAGTGTTCAAGAGAACTCGATAAACACCTCCAAAGGGTACCTGATCAACCAGGCTGTAGGTCATATGTCAGGCTGCGAGCCGAGTCCATCAGCCTGGTTGACCAGTCTAGTAACAGGAGGCCTGATCGAGGACCAGGCCACAGAGACACTAAGCCCCAGAATCATTGCAAGGTAATCGCAAGGAGCTCACCCCCAGCCCCGCCTTGGTGCCTTTTTGATAATTACTTGCTTACCGCCAGCATCTGGCCTACAACCTCTGTGACATAACCGATATGTACTTTTAAATTATTATATAGATTATTCTGGTCTACAGCTAAAATGCTTCTGAAACAAATGCTGTATTGTATTTGTTACTTTTGACTAATTCTGGGCCACTGAGAATGGAAGTTATGTTTAAAGCTGTTGATTAGCTCTAGTCTTCATCCAAGACTAATCTTTTAAATCATTTTGCTGCAGAATGGTAGTGTTTTGTCATCAATAACATTGGGTTATGCAACCCACTTGAAGGAAACTTATGACAACATGAAGCAGCTTTTGAGGTCCATAAATGATAACTAACATCAGTTGTAGCTCTGTGACGACTTGAAGGTTGCTTTTGTGATGACTGTAGGGTGGATACACAGAGTACTGTCTTATTTCTTTTATTTTTGAGTAGGATAGTCTTGCGAGAGATTCCTACTATGTCATGAGAGACTGGCCACTCCGTCGAACTACTGCCCCTTCCCATGATGCAACCCCACAGCTGTTACCTAATTCCCGGTTATTTATTCATTACTAGGTGGACGTTATTAGTTAAAGGAGCATCTCAAATCATTTCTGTCCCATCTGGGAATTGAATTCGAAACCCTGATTGTGAGTTGGGAATGAAGCCAACGATTCTGAGAACCTTAGTGGAACAAAGAACTACACCTTATTGTCCAAACTGGTTGTCCCGCTTACAGGTATGCACCTCCTTGAAAACTGTCTTGACTTTCAGGTTGATGGGAAATTTTTCTTTCCCAATGTCTCATCCTATACTTTTGACGTCAGTCGTCCTATCTTCTGTTTCTTTCGTGTATATATATACAGTATTGGCATCTTGAATGCCAATACTGTGTATATATGTCGAGGAATGTCGAGGGCATTCTGACTGCTCTGTGCCACAGCCGGTTCTAAAGGGTTCCAAGTTTGGTGCCTTTTGATAATTACTGACCGTCGAATCCAAAGTTCTAATACATATGTAGGTTATAAGAAAAGCAGCCGGTCTCATAAACAAAGGCCAGTCTTATCCATGCACCTGCCAAACTTCTTGTTTATGAATGAAAAACTGTTTACTCACGACTCACAATTGATGACGTCCGGAACAAGTAGTTGTTCTACTTGGTCTGAGGACGACTTTGTTCGAACCACAACGCCGTAAGTGCTTCACCCACATACTACAAATACAAATAATCGCCAACAGAACCTAAACACATAACCTAACCTAACCAATGCAAAAATATGCACAGTATGCTTATATATAACAATATTAATTTTGAGAAAATTCCTATTTTGAATGAACAGCATGTTAAAATTGATGAATGCGTCTTTGGGGTCGACCGACGGATGGAATGGACTTGGTCTGAGGACGATTTAAAGAAAACAATTGACTCATGTACGGGTTTATATTTATTCAATGCCCAAAATTTGACCTGAGAAGTTCAGTAAGGTGTTTTATTTGGTTTCTGGTGACAATGACATGCAAAATGAAAGGGTAATGAAGGTAAATGATAAGTGGAAATTATGATAACATTGGGACCAAGATTAACACAGGAGGAAGTACTCAATCAGCGCAGTTATTTATCACAATGTTGTATATGAAGCTCCTGTTTTGGAATCTTATTAAGAAGAAATCATTTTATTGTTAGTTAATTACTACACATACAAACTTTTAGTGTAAGCTTTATTGGTGACTCATCTGTGAGAAAGAGCATGAGACAGCTGTCATATGTGAAGGTGGATGACTGCCAACTGTATGTCAAGGTGTAACAGAGTATGAGACACCTATCATGGATGAAGGTGGATGACGTGAAGACTAAAGTGTTGAGAAGAATGCACACATCCCTTGTTCCATTCCCCTTGATTATATAGTTTGTGGATTTACATCCTAATATATCTTTTCTCGTTATTGTATCCAAGTCCTTGTCACTTTAAAGCCCCCTGATTATTTTTCTGTATTTATTTTTTTTAGGGAGAAAGAAGCGGCAATCGATTAATGACTGAGCACTATATAGGTTCACTATATACCACTAAATTTCATTATCCGTAGTTTTTCCATTTCTTGTACGCGGTTCTAACAAGTTTGTCGGCAGGGTTTAGGTTTCCGGAATATTTATCTAGAGCGAGGTTAATTAGCATTGGCAGGAGCGGCTTATTCTTTACCTTCTCATGTGACCATTGTAAGACTTCATTGATGAGCTCACCCAAGGAGGCGTTAGTAACTCTGGTTTCCTGCTCCGAAGCTGCTATAACGTTTGAATTAACACCAGGCGTCAATACAGAACCATTGTGGATGTGGAAATAGTCAGTGCCGGGTGGAGATGTCATGATTGTCTTATAGGTGTATCCAGAGAAAAGTGGCTGCATCTTGGAGTCTTCTGGTGATGGAGTGTAATACGAATATGAGCTGATATCTGGGTCGTCGGATTCTTGGTAAGGTCCGACTTGTCTCTTCTTCCTGAGGCCATCGTTGACATCAAATTCATTGCCCAGGAGGATTGGGATGGTGGACAACATGGTGGCCGCGAAGGCAAACGCCAGCATCTCGTTCTGCAAGTTACCATCTGAGTCGAGAAGGTTGGAAATGTAGTTCATTCTTCGTTTCCTATTAAGGTGTTGACTGGCAGGATCATGGAGCTCAGGAAGTACAGCAGCTGGAGAAGGGACTCCTGCACCCAGGCTCACAGGGCCCGGTGCAGCTATGCTGTCCAGGGACATTTTGCACTCTCGTCTCTACCTGAAACTGTACACTATGGTTAATGATGCGTGTTTAGGAAGTTGCGTGATGCAAGTAATGAACACGCACAAACAAGCAAACACACACGACGTGCCTAACACATCATTTAGAACAGCTGAATTTCGACTTCAAATAGTAATTGAAATGGATTCAGGAAAAGAAAATACTGGAAGGAGGCAAGGGTCATAGTGGAAATAGATCGATATATAGTAGGAAAGAAATTACGAGTAGAATATCATAAGGTTCATAAATAGAGCTCATAATTCTCTTCCTAATATATGCTAACCATCAAACAGAAATTGTGCTATTGATATTATACAACAACAAAAACTGCGATTACAATCAGAATAGAGGAGGACTGTTGTATATTGAGAATGATCTAGACATCCCAGAGGTGGTTTGAAAAATGGTTACTAGATTTTAACCCAGACAAATGCAAAGTTATTTAGATAGGAATAGGAGTGAAGATATCCCAGAAGCAGTATAGAATGAAAAGGAAGCTACTTAATTTTGCGTTATAAAAAAAAAGACCTTGGAATAGACCTAACTTCAATCCAAACTTCAGAGTTGCAAATAACGTTGGCTCAACCCCCGCAAGCACAGCTAGGTGAGTACAGTATGAGGTTTACTGGTAGCGCTGGGTCGTGCCGTTATAACGCGGGGGTTGGCGGCTGTCAACGGTGCACCTGTGCTAGTGGAAGACAGACACAGGTAGCGGGACTGGGGGAAGAGGAGGGAAGTGGGGTTACACGATTTTGACCGAGTGTCAACCCTTGGACGAGGGCTTTCGTCATTTGACATATAGGGATAAGGGTCATAATATTTCATTACGCTGCTGATCTGTTGGTGTCCCACACGGTCAACAGATGGCTCGCCCACAGGAAAACCAAATTCCATTCTTGATAGGAATACAGTCGTAATGTAGTAAGGAAAAACTGGTGTGTTTATTATAAAGAATTGTGATTTATTTGAATGAGGCTGACTAGGATAGGGTCGTCCGGATGTGGGCACCTCTGTTCTCTCGTATAACACATCGTATTTTGACGAGAAAAAAATCCCAATGTCAATGGAAAATGTATTAAAATCATAGTACATAGTACATAGTACAAGAATGTAACAACTCTTGTATATATCTCAAAAAAAAAAAAAAAAAAAAAAATAGCGGCTCGCAAAATTGACGCGATGTCCCGTTTTCTATTCCTGGGCCCGCGGGGTATGTTAGATTCGGCCAATTTAATACATCAGTTTAGTGACGTTGTGAACTCTGGAGAGGACGGACTGATTATCGCTCCCTCACCACCTTTGCCTCACTCCCTCATCACAAGTACAATCACTCGACTGCAATAATCAAGTGATGTGAAACCTTTATATACATTTCTATTATTATGAATTATAATTATTTCACCAACATAGTGTTAAATTAAAAAATAAACGTGTTTATATATCTTGATTTAGAAAATGAGTTATCTGCAGTTACCGCATATAAATATTGAAAACTAAGAAAAAATATAATGTGTGTGTAGTGCTTAGAGAGGCCGCTGGTGCTGACGGCTGATTTACCTGACTAGTCAGCTAATTATATACACTGAAAGGTGTACGCTAGTTCTCTGCGTGCACACACACACACACTTGAGAGTTTACACTAATTCTAGATCTAAAGCATACCTGTTGGTTGGTCAGTAAGCCAGTGTCATGGACTTAATAATTAACCTTCGTGCCCTTGGCAGGCCTTAATAAGCCCATCACCAACTACAGCTCTTTACAACCCTGTCAAGAAACGGTAGGAACACACATTCACCACTTTTGTGAGTATTTACATTTTAACCCCTTTTTAATGATATTATCTATATATTATGTTATATTATTACCATCTTGGCAATTTTTATATTATTTGAATAATAATAGTAATTTTGTCGGGAGGACTGACAGACTGTATATATATATATATATATATATATATATATATATATATATATATATATATATATATATATATATATATATATATATATATATATATATATATATATATATATATGTGAGGCTGACATCGGGGTCCTCCCCACCCCCTCCTCCAGGAAAAACTACTGAGCAGATTTTTTTGTTTTGTTTTGTTTTTTGTTTTGAGGGCTCGGGGGAAGAGGGCAAATCCCTCTTCATCTCTCAAAGCCCAAAATATGGCAAGTGATTTTTTTGTCTCCATATTATCTACTATAACTACATTTTTTTTTCATTTTCAATTTTTCGGGGTGTGAAGGCGGGAGAATGTGCTGTTGGTAACTCGCCACATCAACAATTTGGCTACCAATTTCTGTAATTACTTCCCCGCATTTATTGTATGGTTTTTATAGCTTTGCAAGATTGTTTTTTAATTTACTACTTTAAATTTTGGGGAGTTATGGGGAGGGGGAGGAATTGCCCCCTTTTTTTTTTATCTCCGCGTGTAAACTTTGGTAACTAGAATTCTGAACGAAATTTTCCTGTATATGACAATATATATATCATGTAGTACCGGTTGTGCAGTCGGGTTCGTTCTTTTTTCAGGGATATTCCTGCGCGGGCCCTAAGCCTCTGGCTGGCCCACTAAGTGTTGCTTGTTTCTGTTTTACTTGGGCGGAGTATGAGTATTTATTACTCGTATGGTCGCTTCAGTAAGATTATGCCCCATGTGTTTAACAACTTCTTCTGCTCTGTTGAATCTAAGTTGAAATTTTAATGGGTTTGTAACTGTGCACTATGTTAGATAATGTTCCAGTGGTTTGTCGGGCACTGATCAACCAGGCTGTGATTCATACGTCAGACTGCAAGCAGCCGCGTCCAACAGCCTGGTCGGCCAGACCATCCAGGAGGCCTGGTCAAGAACCGGGCCGTGGGGACATTGAGCCCCCGAAATCATATCAAGGAAACCTCAAGAGATATAAATAGTTGGACGCATTTCCTATCACCTAATGCCCCTGTTCACCTAGCAGCAACTAGGTACCCCAAGAGTTAGGCCGCTTGTTGTGGGGTTGCATACATTAATTCGACCTCGGGGGTGGGTGGGGGTCAATATAAGCCTAATGTGTATAAATATACGGGGGACTTGTCCCCCGACACAATGAATTAGTATTTAATTAATGTTTGCATTAAAAAAAAGGATTTTTCTCACCATATTGCGGGAAATTCTATTTCTCCACTTATCACCTGTATATTTTTTTCGCGCATTTGCCATTTTTTCTATACATTTTTAACGACATATATTTTTTTTTATTCCCAAAGAATTACGCATAGCATAGTGACGGACCGGGGATAGTTGTATTCTTTAAACGTTATTTTTGGCCGTTTTTACACTTTTTAAAATTATTCTTTATTGGTAAGAGTAGAATGAAGACTTAAAATATTCGTAAAATCATAATGATTTTTTGACTGAGAAAATTAACAAAACACAACACGTAAATGTTGTTTATGAAAAAAAGATACAGCAAAAGTTCCGTTGACAGATGTTGACCAGACCACACACTAGAAGGTGAAGGGACGACGACGTTTCGGTCCGTACTGGACCATTCTAAAGTCGATTGTGCGGAGTCGTTACTCCGTTGTCAGATATTCAAACAGCAATAGGCCTTGACCGCGAGGAGCGCCAGCCCCGCCTGCTGGTCTCTCTAAACGAATGTTACTGAGGGCGAGAGAGAACGTGGTGATTACTAATGGCGAGAAGACGACACGGTGTCTGGTGTGCCCCCAACTACAGAGTACTGTAATAGGGTTCGACTCTGCTGCTGAGAACTGTAATAGGGCTTGACCAGCTGTTGGGATATAGAACTTGACCCAGCCACCGAGTACTGTAATAGGACTTCCCCCAGCTGTTGGGTGGTACGTTAGGAATTGACCCAGCTGCTGGATACCCAGTAACTGGGCTTGACCCAGCTACAGGGTACTGTAATAGGGTTTGACCCAACTCTTGGGTACTATAATACGTCTTGATCCAGCTACTAGGTAGTATAATAAAACTTGTCCCAACTGCTGGGTATTGTAATAGAGCTTCATACAGCTGCTGCATACTATAATAGGACTTGATCCAACTTCTGGATATAATAATAGGGCTCGACCCAGCTGCTTGGTACTATAATGTGGCCAACCCTCCTTTGGGATGCATTTTGATTTAGATTAATTATATTGCAATTAAAATTGATCAAAAATGCAATTTAATTTGATCAAAAACGCAATTTAATTTGATCGCAAATGCAATTTTAAGTAAATGTAATTAGAGAATATGTAAAAACTATAGTGTCTGCATTTAGCAGGCGTATCAGTAATATTAATAAAAATGTTGTTTCACTCAAATTACTATGTAATAATTATCGAGCAGCTGTACAGTTCTGTGGAAGGAGAGCACTGCACAATAAGTATAGTGTCTTTCGAACGATAATGCTTGAGCAACGCACGAAACCAAGTGGGATAAGTGAGCCCAAACGAAACTGCAACTGTGGTAAGTTACCTGAGCTTGTCTGGTAACGGCACACACGTGAGCAAGGCGTCGTGGACCGCCCGGTCATTCACTCCTCGTGGGAACCCCATGTCCTGTTCAGAGCCCTCAGCATGGCAAGGGTATTCGAATTTTCGTTAGCAGGTTTGGAACTTTTCCTTCCCGTGGTTTCTTTTGAGCCTATCCTACTAAGTATTTTTTTTCCTGGATATCACCTAATTCCTATCACCTGATCAGTTCCTGGTGTGTTACGAGGGAAGATAACGGTTATGGCGGTCAACCATTCGACCCTATCAAGGGGTAAGGATCCGGTCGAAATAGCTGGCGAGGCGGCTAAAGCTGCATTTAACAAACCCGTAAGCAACATTATAGTTCAAATCATTTATGACAAACCATCTGCGAGTAAGGATATTAGATAAACATACGCGTAACTTTTGTCTAAACTTTATAGGCCTAGCCATAGCAATAAAGGAAGACAAATTATGCAGGTATCACTACATTGATTTATAATTTGTCGGTACCTTTTTACTAATAATAGTAATGTTTTGCAGTTTACTGTTAAAGCAACCATTTAATACCGTATTTCCATATGTGCTCAAGACACGGCTCAAGCCTTTCCATTAAAACTTTATTCAACTTGTTATATCGTTAATAATATACAATACAAATTTAATATTTGTCATATGCAAACCTTACTTACAAATTATGTTTTATACATCATTAGGTTTCATTATTCATCAAACATCAAATCAATGATTAGTTCTTAACCCACGAGATTATTGAGCCAGTTATAGTTGTACCAAAGTTATTGTATGAACAACTATAATTCCCCAACGAAATAGTATCGTTAACTATACTTAGACGAAGTTTAATGTACTGTATCATCAACTAACTGTAACTGCCACGAGGCTACAAACCCGACTACAATATATTTGACCTCTTAATACTTAACTAAAAAAATCCAATCACTTGTCATATCAGTTTAATGTCAATCGGTAACAAATCCAGTTTAGAAAAGCGTGTATTATTTTCTTATAAAAGATAAAACACTGCACATTGCGAACGAGATTGGAACATTTACCTCAGTCAAAGATGTAAGGCAGAGGATGCACCGTACGTGTACCTCACTCAGCAACCTCAGTAGCACTGACGGAGACCTGGGAGAAACCAAGAAATATCTTCCGTTCAACTCCAGAGGTATCCCCCAAGTACCAGTTCGTTAATATAAGATATATTATTATTCTAAATTCTTATTTACAACTACAGTATAAACCATTTGCTTTAGCTGGCACATCATCGACAAAGTACATACATATTTATTGAATATAAAACACAACATACATGGAGATAGAGGATCACAAACTGTCTAAATAAAGGCATGGCATCGTGTTCTGGAAGTGACCGAGCAGCGGTACTTGTAACCTCCCACAGAGTTGTTCACTGCATAAAGTGCACTAAGACGTCATGGTTTGGTGGGGAATTGAGATTATTCTGACCTATATGATAAACCGTCATCTTCGTTACCTGAAACAAAAGGCCACCAGTGTAACATGGCAGCTTCGCTATTTATAATATTATTATATTTCATGAATTTCTTCTTGAAATGGATGTTGAGGTTAGTGGCAGCTGGGCCTTTACATGAGCTGGGACCATTGACCTCTGGTCACACTGGCAGGCGTTTGTGTAAACAAAAGTATGGTAAAGACGTGTCTCTTTCTCAATTCATTAGTTATGACTGTGGGTACCATCTCTAGTGCAATTGTAGGGATCTTCGGAGAAGGGAATACAGAGGAGTCAGAGAAAAACCCGCTGTTTGACTCTAAATACATAAGTCAATATTGACTTATTAAATATGTGCATAGGTGACATACTTAACATAATAGATACCCTTAAAAAGATTCATAGAAAACACCGACCTTACCTAACCTTGTTAGTATCTTAAGATAAGCATCTTATAGCTTCGTAATTACAATTATTACCTAACCTATAATAGGTATAGGTTAAGTAATAATTGTAATTACGAAGCAATAAGATGCATATCTTAAGATACTAACAAGGTTAGGTAAGGTCGGTGTTTTCTATGAATCTTTTTAAGGGTATCTATTATGTTAAGTATATCACCTATGCACGTAGTTAATAAGTCAATATTGACTTTACGAATTTGCGAGAACGGGTTGCAATACATACGACTATTCGCTTCTCCTACCACCTCTTTTTTATTATTTATGTTATACACTTTATTATACAAGTATACGCAGTTATATAGCTTATTAATTACAAAATGTAAACATTAAGAAGAAGAAAAGGGAAGTTTATCTCCTTGAGGCTGTAGATTTCTTCGAACGTACGACAGGAACCGAGGATGCAGTAGGCATTTCACCTATGGATCGCCACATTGAGGCGCTGGTAAATGAAACTCGAAGCTCTAGGGGTCTCTTAAGTATTTCGATGAACCTAGAACAGATCCTCGAGGAAGATCTTTGCACTCTTTCTCCATGGACCAAGGGGTCTCGGATCCTATAGGAACAAAATTGTACTGGTGGTCAGTTTCCCTGTACTTGTTTGATTTGTCTCTGGGTGTGGTAGCGGCTCCTGCTTGACCAACAGGAAGGGTAATGTATGTGGATACAGAAGTATAGTCCCACGCCATTCCTCATTGAGATTAGTGTGATTCCATCCAGTCAATCAACAAAAGCAATAAAATTACGAGACATTGGAAGACGAGGCTATCTGTTGGACACTGGGCAGAGGCAAGGCTCTTCTTAATAATGTCGTTGGTTTCGTCATGCCTTGTGTGCCATCCCTTTGATGTTCTACTATGCAGGCCATGCATTCCGTATTCATCTGCATCTACCTCACTACAAATACACTTATATCCAGCATGGATTGGGGCACCATGGCAGAGGGCAATTGCAATGCGGTTCAAGATATAACCCTGTTACAGACATAGGGACTGCCAAAAGGAAAGGGAAGCAGGCACGGCTGTGAGGTGAGTATGGCCATTCGGTATTGTTGTGTTTAGTAAAGCAGTAGCTTTTTGTCCACTAAGGGGCCGTCCTAATTGGATTGATGTTGACATTTGGTATGGTTGGTCCGAGTACCGAGGCTGCCAAGGTATCCTATTTTGTGGTGCATTCTACTTAGTAGGGGTCATGTATCCCCACAGTCACCTAAATTGTATGGTAGAATTTTCTTGACTTGGTCTTCTGATGGCTAGAAGGAAGAATTAAGGCTGTAACATCATCTTGGGTGGCAGTGCGGATACCAAGGCAGCAGAGTCTGACTGGAACAGTGGCTTGTTTTTATTAATAGTCATTGAGGGAAAGGTTGACAATTTTTTCTAATATGGTCTTCAGAAGGATGAAGCTTTCAGAAGGTCTTCGCTCTTCAAGCTTTGAGCTGTTTCAAGATGGGGCGCGCCTCAAAAAGTAGGTTAGCTTTCGAAAAAAATTATATATATGAACTCATTTTATCTCTTACTTCATTGGGTTTGGTTAGGGTGCTTTGGATTTGGTTAGGTTAGGTTTGTTTGATATAAGTTTGTTTATAGCGTAGCGATGATGCAGGGAGTTATATACTTTCCTTAGGTCATATACCCTGCTCCCGGGGGGTACCTTATGCTTAAAGACATTCAATCATTTTGGACTTGTTGGTGAAAATAAAAGGATAAAAACACTTTTATTTGTATGGCTTTTGAATATTTTGAAGCAGCATTGCTTTGTAGCATGGCCGTTGTTTATTCGCAGTTATACGTCAGAGATGGGTTATACCCTTCTCTGACAAGCGTCAAATTTTAGGCTGTTTGCCTAACCATAAGAGTACCAACCCAGTCAACCCTCCTAACTAATCAGGTTCAATAAAGCGTCAATAATACGGTGCTATTAAATTCACATGAGCACTATAGAATCTTGTGTAAGGAATAATTCAGAATCTTGTATATCTCATTTGTCAGACCAATACTGGAGTGTGAGGCTCCAGCGTGGAGTCCTCATCTAGTAAAACACAAAAGGAAGTTAGAAAAGGTTAAGAGGTATGCCACCAGGCTAGTCCCCAAGCTGAGAGATATGAGCTACGAGGAAAGACTACTGGAACTAAACCTCACGACACTGGAAGACAGAAGAGTTAGGGGAGACATGATCACCACCTATAACATTCTCAGAGGAATTGACAGGGTAGATAAATATAAACTAATTAGCACGGGTGGTACGCGAATAAGGGGACATAGGTGGATACTTAGTACCCAAATGATCAGCAGAGATATTACAAAGAACTTTTCAGTGTCAGATTATTTAATAAATGGAATGCATTAGGCAGTGATGTGGTGGAGGCTGACTCCATACACAGTTTCAAAAGTAGATATGATAGAGCCCAATAGACTCAGGAACCTGTACACCAGTTGATTGACAATTGAGAGGTGGGACCAAGGAGCTGAAGCTCAACCCCCCACCACAGGCATAACTAGGCTAGTACTGGAATTTTGACGCTGTGATCGACGTTAAGATTTTTGACGTTATGCTTGAAGGAAAGCTGTAGCCAGAAGAAATGAACACACAGCCAAAGGAACCAGTTAACAATAATTTCCATATCCAAAGATGTACTCAACTAGTTGTACTCACCTAGTTGTGCTTGCGGGGGGGTTGAGGTCTGGCTTTTTGGTCCCGCCTCTCTACTGTCAATCACTGGCGAAAAATGTGAGTCACCAGTGATGCAACCCAAGTGGTAGTGACATCAATTGTAAGTGACAATATACTTAACATCGCATTTAAGCGTGCAGTGTATGTGTGAAATCTTTCTTAATACTTATGCCAACCCACAGAAATATACTGCATAGTACCGAAAGGTTTATACACTGAGAAGTGTACTTATCTTTTCGGTGTATATATACATAGTTTACTGTAGTCCTGGAGTATGTTACTAAGCTTTAGTAAGCAGTTATGGTGGCCGGAGGTTGATAGGCATTAAGCTCAACACCAAAAGCCAACACACACACGAAATAAACAGAAAGTTAAGACGTTTCATTATATTTCATGTGTATGATAGGCTGTTCGTCCGCTGCACGTTACTGTGACATATTCTCTGTATATGTCACAGTATACGTATATGTACATGTGTATATATGTATAAGAGTATATACATACTCTTAAATACGGTGCGGAAAGCCAGATGAAGTCTATTGTTGCTGCCATCGTCTGGACTGTTTATATCTCAGTCCCACACATTCCTAGAGACAGAAAGTGAAATTATAAAATTTGAAGTGAGGATAAAATTTGCATGTGAATTTTAAATAAATACTATTTTATTCGACCCATCCTCCTGCTAAGATGGTAGGTTTTGTAACTTTGTGCACTGTAGTACAAAGATTGACGTACTAAGTAATTAGGTAGCATTTATTAGATAGCATTGTGAGCCCATATCTCACAATGAGCTCTATTTGGTGTTATTCACATTATAGCCCGAAAAAATTAAGCTAAAAAACCAACTTAAATATTCCTAGGCTTAGTATTCCTAGGCTCTTCTCAGATATCGTGTATTAGGCTCAGGAAGGTTAGGTTAGTTTAGTTTATCTTTGCACCATAAATAGAAAATCTTTTCCGGTTTGTCCAAATTCAGTATTATCGATTTATATTTTCTAATTGTGTTGTACGTCGGTATATGAACTATGGTCCTCATCGTTACTACAAGTAATACTAAAACAGGAAGATTGGTTGTTTTATTACTGTGTGGATATAGGTCATAGAGAACAGACTTTCGTTGGTTTTAATACCATATATAAAACTACTTTTTATATTTCATCTATGTATAACGATAAATGTAGATAACAATGTCACTATTGTGCTGTAGGCTACGCGAGCCGCTTGTATAACAGTTATATTTGGAGTTGTTGTTGTGTTGTGTTGGAGGCATTGATGTGTAAATACAGAATCACATAACTGGTGATGTTACAAGAGAGGACTGGAAATAACAGTCATCACAGAAATTAATTTACGGATGGTGAGCCGTGCAGGTTGACCTTGAGCTGTAGCAGTTCAGCTGGTGGGTTGAGACCACCACTGGTATCATTCTTCTTTTCTTTTCCTTCTTCTCTTTTTCATTCTCTCTTTCTCCTCCTTCTGCTCCAGTTGTGTTGCTAGGACATCAACAA